AAACTAGATGATTGGGACCTTTTAAAAATTAAATCTTATGTGCTTCAAAAGACTTCTCCAAAAGAGTAAAAAGAGAACCTGCAGATTGGGAAAAAATATTAGGCAATGATATATCTGACAAGGGAGTCATCTGTAAAATTTATAGAACATTCCAAAATCTCAACAACAAAAAGACAACCCAATTAAAAAATGGGAAGAAGACATGAATAGAGTACACCAAAGAAGACATTCAGGTGGACAACAAATACATGAAGAAATGTTCAAGATGTTCATCATTATTAGCCATTAAAAACAAAACAAAACAAAAAATTAAACTCACTGCCATCAAGTCGATACCGACCTTGTAACGACCCACATTGGATTCCGGAGGCGGTATGTCTTTACAGAAGTAGTTTGTCCCATCTTCCCTCCACGGAGCGGCTGGTGGGTTTGAACCATCAACCTTTTGGTTAGCAGTCATGCAAATCAAAACAAGATACCATCTCACCCCAGTACTAACAGAAAAGGTGAACAAAACAGAAAGTAACAAATGCTGGTGAGGATGTGGAGAGATTGGGACTCTCACACACTGTTGGTAGACAGTAAAATGATAACAACCACTGTCCCCAGCTATCATTGTCCTGAGAAATTGGTATGGTAATTCCTTAAAAAGTTGGAAAAAGAAATACCACTTGATCCAGCAATCCCATTACTAGGTATATGGCCTAAAGAAATAAGACCCAGGACACGAACAGATATATATGCACAGCCATGTTTATTGCAGCAGTAGCCACAATAGCAAAGAGATGGAAACAACCTAAGTGCCCACCAACTAAATGGATAAGCAAACTATATAGTACATACATACAATGGAATACTATGCAACACTGAAGAATAATGTAGAATCTGCAAACACTGCATAATGTGGATGTACTTGGAGGACATTATGCTGAGTGAAATAAGTCAATCACAGAAGGACAAATATTGTATTAGTTCTTTATTGTAAAAAATCAAAGAAAGCTTTATATATGGAAGGAAACTTTCTTTGCTGGTTACCAGGGATGGGAGAGGAGGGGAGTGAACACTGCTAGATAGGCAGAGACAAGTATTGATTTAGGTGAAGGAAAGGGTAATGTACCAAAAGTGAGTGATCAACATGGTGGCACTGAGGCAGAGGAAGACATAGAGCAGTACATGGGAGGAGGTACAGACAACAAAGATAAACCCTTTTGCATGTACAGTACTGTGTTGTGAGTGATGGCAGGCATTGATCTGCAGGTAGACAGATAGACAGATGGGTGAAAAGGCTGTATGATCAGGCATGTCCAGGCAGAAGGGAGTGTATCCGAGACCATGCATAGGGTTGACACATGATGGTTCTACATGCATATTTGTATGTGCTGTAAGAATGTCTGGGTGTATAGTAGAGCTGACAGGGGACAAGGCTGAGGTGGCTTCTTGGCCATAGCCAGCTACCCTGAGGGGTTGAGTAGTCAGACCTGTGGGCTCAGGACAATGATAGCAGGGGACATCAAGCTCAACTGGCATAACATACTACACAAAAACACTGTTCTCTGATAGTGCAGTGCCTAAGGCACTTGACTGCTAACCAGAAGGCTGGCTGTTCAAACCCACCAGTCACTTCTTGGAAGAAAGGTTGCACAATCTATTTCTGTAGAGATACTGCCTTGGAAACTGAAGGAGGGGTTGCTATGAGTTGGATCCAGCTCAACAGCAGTGATTTTGGTAATGTTGTCTATCACAGTTTTTGCCGATACAACTTTTTACAGGTATAAAATGTATTGACATCAATTATAATAACTGGCTGTGGAACTCTACACATAATTTTTTCATCACTGTTAACCTCCCATCCCCCATCCCTGCTATCGCTGGAAGCCAGTAATAAACTTTGGTCTCTATATACTTGCCTTTTCTTCTTTTTTATATAAGTGAGGTCATACAGTATTTGTACTTTTGATTGGTACAGTCAGCATACAGTCTTCAAGGTCCATCCCTATTGTAGCATATATCAAGACTCCATTTCCCTTACTCGCTGAATAATATTCCACTACAAGTATGCGCCACATTTTGTTCATCCATTTGTCTGTTGAAGGACAGATAGTTTGGTTCTTTCTACCTTTTGGCTATTATTAGAGTTGCAGTGAACAGTGGTGTATAAGTCTCTGTTTGACTCTGTTTTTGAGTCTTTTGGGTATATACCTAGGAGTGGAATTGCTAGGCCAGATAGTAGTTTCATTTTAGTTTTTTGAGGAACTGACACATTGTTTCCCACAATGGCTGTTATCATTCTGCATTCTCACCAACAATGGGTAATGGTTCTAATTTGCCCACATCCTCTCCAACATTAATTTTTTAAAAATCTTAGCCATCCTAGTGGGATTGAAATAGTATTTCACTGTGGTTTTGATTTCCATCTCTGATGGCTAATGATGTTGGCATCTTTTCCTATGTTTGGTGGTCTTTGAATGCCCTCTTTCATGACATGTTTATTCGAGTCCTTTGCCCATTTTATGATTGGGTTGTCTATTTGTTGTTGTCAAAGTTTTATATGTATTTATTAGATTCTTGTTGGATATAAGGTTTCTGGAGACATTCTCTCTGTTGGTTGCTTGTCTTTTCACTTTTTTGGTAAGTCTTTTCATGAACAAAAGTTTTTGATTTTTATGAGGTCCCATTGATTTGTCTTTTGCTCTTTGTACTTTCATTATTACAGAATCCATTTTAAGAGCTAGGCCCAATAGTATTGCCTCTACACTTTCTTTTCAGAATTTTATGGTTTCTGTTTGCACATTTAGGTCCATTATGAATTTGTTTATGTGTGAGTTATGAATTCTGTTTCATTTTTCTGCAAATCCATTTTTCTCAGCATCATTTATTGAAGAGACTCCTCTTGCCCCTTTGAATGGATTTGGCGCCCTTGTCAAAAGTCAGTTGATCCCAGATGTGTGGGTTTATTTCTGGACTCTTAATTCTATTCTATTCTATTGGACCATGTATCTATTGTTATACCAGCTTGTTTGGCAACTGTAGCTGTATAATATGCTTTAAATCAGGAAGTATAAATCCTCTTACTTTGCTCTTCTCTTTCAATTTTGCTTTAGCTATATGGAGCCTCACAGCATCCTATTTTAGTTCCTTTCAAATACTACCAGGGGTAAGAGGGAGGAGGAAAGGGGAAGCTTTTGTTTGGAGAGCACTAAGTTTATGCTAATAGGTGGTGACTATTTTGGCAAAGGATAGCAATAATGATGGCCCAACAACAAAATAAATGTAACCAGTGTCTCAGAGCTGTAAATGTCAAAGTTGTTGTGTTGGTAAATGTCCTGTTGCATATGTTTTCATCACAAAAAAACTAAAACAAACAAACAAACAAACAAAAAATCCCATACATTTAGAATGATCTAAAACAAAACCAGTAATTAAAAAAGAACACATAAATAAAACAAACAAAAAAAGAAATGAGAAAAACATATTTGCTTAAGGGTGAGATGGGGCAATCTACTTCCATAGGGATACTGCCTCAGAAACCCAAGGAGGGGTCGCTATGAGTCGGGTCTGACTCAATGGCACATAACAATGACAACAAGGGTGAGAGAGACATAGAAAACAGAGAACAAAAGACAAAGTTTAAGCTTATGCAGCTTATTTACAATTCTGCTATAGGCA